AAATTTCACAAATTTCTTAAATTACAGTTAAAAATTAGGCTACGCAACAAACAAAATAAAAGATATAAAACAAACGAACGAACGAACGAACTGAAGGAAAACAAATTTACAAGAAAAGAACTGGAGTTATAAAATACTACAAAATTAATTATGTTTAATAATAGCTACGCAAAAATTTCGCTAAATAAAATGTGCTAACTGATAAGGCAAAGCGAACGAACACACTCTAACGGGACTTCGAGCCTTGTATCGGAATTCGAAATCGCATTGGAAATCGAGTCGAGCGCAAACAATGCTTAACGAAACTGAACAGAACTTGGTGGATGTTACGCGGGTATGGAGCTGTAGGGGTTGTCCAGGGGGTGGAGGGGGCTTACTCATTCATATATAAATATATATGTAATATATATAAATGAAGTATTAAGTATACGTAGATACACACATACCATAACGATGCTGGTCTTCAAAAATATCCGAAAAACTATGTATAAATAAATTAATTTCTATCTTCCGAATTGTTTTCAACTAACCTTGCAAATATTAACTCAGTGTCTCTCTAAGTGTGTGTGTGTGTGTGTGTGTGTATGTGTGCCATATAGCTCAGTGCTCAGCAGAGAAATGCTCCAGTGCCGCCTGACGGATTTGTAATTGAATAACAACTATTGTATTATATAATTGAGTATTAATTAATGAGGCATTCGCAATTGAATTCTTGTTTCGATAGTTTGGGATATCATTTTCGTTATTTTTCATATTTTTTCCGTTTTGATTATTGTTCAATTGTAACAACAGAATAAAGCTAAAATCGCGCTGTTCTCTGCGCTTCTCCTGACACTTCTCTCTCTCTCTTTCTCTATCTCTCTCTCTCTCTGTATCCAATTTTATTTGCCTTTTACTGTGCTAATTTAGCTTTGTTTGTTGTTTATCATTTTCGATTTTTGTTTTTGTTTTCGTTTCTTGTTAAAACGTGTTAATAGTTAGTGAGTAAATTTCGCTTAAAACAATATATATGATTTTGTACTCTGATCGCACTGGGTCTTGAAATGGGATCTGGATGCTGCAGTGTGTGGGGAGGGGAAGCTAGAGTGGTCTGAGGGTTGAGGGTGGGCGGTTAGGTAGCCAAAGCTCCAGCCGTGCACTGAATACTGAGCTATTTAGACTAAATAAATTAAAGATTGTAGCTAATCCATTGCAGCGCACAGGCCGCCACATTTGAATCTCCACCACTATTGGCTGCCGTTGCTCCTGCCGCTCCTGCTGCTGCTGTTACTGCTGCCGTTACTCTCACTGGACGCTGTTGTCGTTGTCGCTTGCTTGGATATCACTGAAATCGTGTGATGATGGACCGCATCGTATTCGCTCTTAATGTTGACCAGGAGCTGCTTCTGCTTCTGGTGCTCCAGCAATATGGCATCCATTTGCCTCTCGTATTTGGGCGGCAGTGCGCTGCACTGTCGCTGCTGCTGTTTCTGCTGCTGCGCCTCCTCGCCCAGCGTCGCCAGCTTCGTATCCAGGCTGCGCAGCGTATTGGACAGCACCGCACGCAGCTGCGCCGGCGGCGATGGCGCTTCAGCGGCCACCGTCTTCGGCATTACCGTTGTTGTCGCTGTCGTCGTCGGCGGTGTCGCCATTAGCCTCTGGAGCACACTGACGCGCGCTGCTGGCGGAGGGGATGTATTGCTGTTGGCATCATCCGGCAGCTCCAAGCTGCTGGCACTAGCCGGCGACAGTGTGGAGCTCTCACTCAGACTGATGCTCAGCTGGCGTGTGACGCCGCCGCCTCCACTGCCGTTCACAATGTTGCGCTCCTGCAGTTGCTGCTGCTTCTGCTCCTGTTTCAGCTCCAGTTGTTGTTCCCGCTGCTGTTTCTGCTGCTGGTACTGCAGATTTCGCGCCGACGTCACATTCACCACATTCACCGACTTCGATATCGAGTGCTTCACATGGCCAGGCGCGGGTGGCACAAGGGCCAGCGGTGCAGGGGACGGCGCCTGCTCATCGAATGTGCCCGTCGCATGGCTAGAGGCGGGCGAACTGCTGCTGCAGCACATATCATCCACGGCATCCATGTGGACGTCGGCACTGCCATTGCCATTCGCATCGGCAGCGCCACCATTGGCCTGGCCACCATTCGCGCTCTTCTGCAGATTCTCAATCAAGTAGAGCACAATACGCTCCAGCTGCTGGGGCGCCCGAGATGCCGGCAGATCGGGGCTGGTGTGCGTGGGTATGTTGGCCTTGATGATCGTCGAGAATTTGTTCTTCATCTCCTGCACCTTCTGCTTGCCGGCCTCCTCGTCCAGCAGCGTATTGACGCACAGAAACGAATGCACCTTGTTGCTGTTCTTGTCAATCTCCAGGAAGCCCTTCGTCTGCAGGTAAATAAAGTGTCCATTTCGCGATAGCAGACGATAGCAGCTCTCGCCATAGTCGCTGTTGCAGTCGTACATCTGCCTCAGTGCCACAATCACCCAGCGTACATCGTCCAAATGCATGAAGCTGAACGGGCTCAGGTTCCGCACCTGAAACACATAAACAAATACATCAACAAACAAACAAACAACAGCCACAACAGCAACAGCAATAAAATGCATTAATATTCGCCTAGAAGAGCTTTAAGCAAATGCGCAATAGACCGCTCATAGCAGCTTAAAGCGCAACGACAACAACTAGCAAATCTGTTATGCTCCGCTTGAAGTACAGTTTCTGGTCTATATCTAGACTAAATACTATATAAATAGGTATATATTGTAATTTTATCAAACAGCACAACTAGCTGAATCTATGTTTGCTATGCAACATTTGTAAGCACTGCTCTTCTACGCAATTCTCATCGATTTCTCTAAATCTAAACATAGACATATACATGTCTGCCCAGCGGAGTAACTAGCTTCGCATTACGAGATTTGTTTACAGCCTTTGTTGGTACTAGCTACACTTCTATGCAATTCTCACGCTCATCGATTTGATAAACAACTTGAAGTTTTATTTGAATTTATATATTTATGTAGTCTTGGTTTTATTTATTTGTTTTAATTTCCGATATTTCCTAACTGAAAAGCGTGTGCATAAAGAGTATAAACAAAGCTCGATATATTTATCTTTTTTTCACATACTTCTCATATGATCAATTTTGTTGTCGAGTGTATTGAAACTGGAGCTGTAATTTTTTTTATTTTGGGATTGTGTCTAATTTGGCGACTATTAATGTACGTAAATATCACGATCAGCTCAGTCTCTCTCTCTTTCTCTCTCTCTCTCTCTCTCTCTCTCTCTCTCTCTCTCTCTCTCTCTCTAAATGTCACTGTCCCTCGCTTCCGTCTACGACTCTTCTTTTTGTTTGACTCCCTCTTTCTTTCGCTCTCTGTCTTCCTCAATCTTTTTCTCTCTTCCTCTCTCTTTCTCTCCTTCAACCACCCCCTCTCACTATTTGTATGTCTGTTCTTTTCTCTCTCCCTCTCTCTTTTTCTCCTTTATCCACCTTCTTTCCCGCTCTCTCTCTCTCTAACTTCCTGTTCTTCTTTCTCTCTCCCTCTCTCTCTTTCTCTCTCTCTCTCTCTGTCACTCTATTTAGCCTTTCCGGCTGTGTTGACAAATTTCGTATATACGTATGTATGTAGTAGCAATAGTTCTAGAATGCTCCCTACACGCATTTAATCACGATTAATAATTGTGTTGATTAGTGTTAGATTAGATTGATGCGTCATGTGTGTCACTCACCTCATCCTTCATGTAGCCCGCCACGATGCCAATGCGCTGATCACAGTCGATGATGCTGCCGTCGATGAGGTGCCGCGTTCGGTATTCCAGCTGATACGGCTCCGGCTGGCGGCACATGAGGCTCAGGCAGGTTGACTCCTCGCGCATCACTCGCGCCATGGCCACCAGGACGATGTCGTTGCCGCTGATCCCATGCAGCGCTGCCTGTGCAATGGCATCGTGCTGCGGCAGGCAGGGTGCGGTTAATGTCGTCGTCGCCGCTGCCGCTGCTGCTGCATTTGTTGCTGCTGCTGCTGCGGCGGCGGCGGCTGCTAACATATTATTATTACGTGAGCGCCTTATCAGCTGCGATACGATTGGATAGTTGGCGGCCGCGCCACCCGTCACGGACGAGTCGCTGCGCCGAAAACAACCATCGATTTTGACCATCTCATAGTGACGCGTGGCTTCGGCACGGGTCGAGGCGCGGGCGAGGCGAATCGTGAAGCAGCGTCGATCGGCGCGCAGCCGCTCATCGATGGCCGCCATATGGGCGATGGTTTGGGGGCTGGGCGTGCGTGTTCGTTCTAGGTCCTGGTCTAGTTGTTCCATTTCCTCGTCATCGTCGCCTCCCCCACAACTGCCGCCGCCTCTGCCCCCACCTCCACCTCCACATCCGCCTCCACCATCATCTTCATCGTCGTCATCATCGTCGCTGGCCGACTGCGACTGTGTGTGCTGTTGGCTGCGACGTTGCCGCTGGCATTGGCGCTGCTGATAAAAGAGCGTCTCGATGTCACGCGGTATTAGCTGTTGACGCAACAGCGCCTGATCATCAGGATGGGTTATCTGCAGCAGATTCTGGCCGTACAGGTCCGACTGGCAGTGGCCGAGCAGCTGTTCCACGCTGCCCGACACGAGCACAATCTGCCCGTTACATGTGAGCGTCAGAAAGAAGCTGTCGAGCAGCTGCATCAGCCTATCCGTCAGCAGTGGCGTATCGCCAACGCCAATACCATTGCCATTGCCTCCGACAGCTTCTGGTCCAGTGGCGCTGCCACCGCCGGCTGACTTCATATTCAGCCGGCGTCGACGACGCGTTGCCGATTTCCCAAAGATGTACTGCAGCCGCAGGCCGTGGGTGGCAAATCGTAGCACGGCTGTCTTATCCAAACGCCGTGTCGATTCGGCCGCATGCGGCACCATTGTGGCCAGCTCCTGTATGCTCGCATTTAGCTTATCCCGCCGCTGCTTCTCGGCCAGATTACGCGCTTCTCGTCCATTCGATGCGCCGCTTCCGTCGTTCGTCTCACTGTCCCCGACGGCTGTGGCTGCTGTCATAACTGCGACGCAGCCGCTGCCGCTGTTCGCTGTGGCTGCAACTACTGCTGCCATGATGTGTGTGAGTGCTAATGTGTGTCTGTGTGTGTGTGTGTGTGCGTGTGTGCGGTGTGTGTGGGCGCTGCTATTGTTATGGGTGTAAATCGTTAGCTTGTTTTGATTTTGATTCTTACGTTTACGTTTACGTGTTCACGGCTTCCGAATTCGAATTCGAATTCGCTGATCTCCATGCATTTGGTGTTTTAGTTGGTATTATTATTATTTTTTATTATTATTAGTATTATTATTGTTAATTGGCGCGTTGCGGAAAATTGTCACTCTCCATAACTTTGCGGCCGTTGCCGTTGCCTCTCTGCGCTCGGCTCTGTTTGCGTTTTTCGTTAAAATTTGAGTTTTTTTTGTTGCTATTTCTTTTAAAGTTTTCAAGGTCTCGCTTGTMGTGTTGTTGTTGTGTTTGTTCTTGTTGTTATTGTTGCTGCTGCTTCTCTAGCTACTGCTGCTGTTAACCACCTTTGGGCTATGCGCGCGGCCCCCTTCCTCTTTCTCTCTCACGGCACACACACGCACAACACACACACACTCAGGCAGCGTATGTTATATTCCGTTTTATGGAATTTTTTTTGATTGCGTTGCGAATCTCAATCTCCTTTGCGTTGTGGCTTTGCCTCTCTTGTTTTTGTTTTTATTGTTTTCGTTGTTGTTTTTGTTGTTGTTGGTCTGCCCGCAAATTACGAACGTATTGGAAGCGAATCAATGGAAAGAACATACAATTAGTTTGTATATCGCACGCACTATTCGCACTATTTTGTTTATATTAGTGATTAATTGTTTATTAAACAATTATGTAGCTCGGCGACAATTGTGGCAAAAAAAAATAATAATAATGTATCGATATATCGATATATATATGTAGCATTATCGAGCTCAAAGACATATCAGTTCCAAAAGTTCCACCTGAATACAGCAAGCCAAATGAAATGATTTCCTGAATTGACTGTAAATTGTTTTTTATAAATTACTTATAAACATATACATACAGTAAACAGCTGAAAATTCTTTGACGTAAAATTTTAAAAACTCGTCATTGGTTTAGATTCGTTCTAATTGGGGGTGAACCAGTTCAAAACGATGACATCACGACTCCGATAATAATTCCAATGAGCACACAAAACACGCACGCACACACACATGCACCAAATCATCGCGTGTGTCTCTTCCTCTTTCACTATCTCCACACACTTGGCACATTTGCCAGCTGTGCACGTGAAAGCCGCTGTCACAGCAGAATTGGCAACAGCAACACCAGCTCAAACAACGCAAACGTAAATCATTTAAGTTATAATAATTGAATTCTGAATATTCCCAGTTATTTTAATAATAGGTCACCCAGCGTACCTAATACCTAGCATCCGACACAGACATGTCCAAGGCCAAAGGCAAGAAGAAAGAACGCTTCGATGAGGAGGAGGAACAGCCAGAGAAAGTTAGCGTCAGCGAAAAGAAACATGAAAAAGGTAAAAAGGGTAAAAAGGGAAAGCGCGGTGGCGGCGGTGACTCCAGTGATAATGAATCCCTTGCTGCCAGCAAGTTGTCCATTAATGATGCGGACGATATTGAAAGCTTAAAGTCGTCGCAAGGCAAGCAGCAGCAGAAGAAGGCTGCCAAAAAGGGGAAGAAAGGCAAGAAGAATGACGATTGGAGTGATGATGAGAAACCGGTGAAGTCAATGCCAACGCTCGACGTCGATGGCTCTGACGAGGATGCACCGCCTGTTGCTAAGCCAGCTTCCAAGAAGCAACAGCAGCAGCAAAGCAAGAAGAGTAAAAAGAACAACAAAAAGAAGGGAAATGATGGCTTTAGTGATGACGATGACGATGATAATGAGGATGCTGAAATTGCGGAAGACGATGAGGAAGAGGCGACGGTAACCATAGCCAAGCCGGCAGCCAAGAAATCGAAAAAGAAGCAAAAGCAACAGAAGAACAAATTTGCAATGAGCGAAGATGAGGAAGACGATGTGGATGAGAAGGAGGACGCCGAAGATGATCTGGATGATGAGCCAGAAGCTAAGACGGTCAAGCCAGCAGCAAAGAAATCTAAGAGCCAGAAGAAAAACAAATTCGAATTGAGTGATAAAGAGGACGAGGATGAGGATGACGATGACGACGTCAGCCCTTTGTCCAATAGTCAAGCGAGCCCCGTTGAGGAGGCAAAGTCTAAGCCAGCATCAGATGCGAAGCTAAGCGAGAAGGTTGCTGCACTCAAGCTCGAGGAAGCTGTGACGGAACAGCAAGGGCCAGTGGAAGCTGAGGAGGCAGCGATCACGCCCAAATCGGAGGAGTCATCGGAGGCACTTGGTGAATCCAAGGACAAGGAGAAGAAAATGTCGCACAAGGAGAAAAAGAAGCATAAGAAACAACAGGAATACGAACGCCAAATGGAGTTGATGACGAAAAAGGGCGGCGCCGGTCACTCGGACCTGGATAACAACTTCACCATGTCCCAGGTGCAGAAGACCGCCGGACAACAGGCGGCACTTGAGCATGCAGTCGACATCAAAATCGAGAATTTCACGATATCGGCAAAAGGTAAGATAATTTCACAACTTGACGTAACCTCTTAATTGAATCATTCTCTCCATTTGTTTTGATAAGGAAACGATTTATTTGTGAATGCCAATCTGCTGATCGCCCATGGTCGTCGCTACGGTTTGGTGGGTCCCAATGGACACGGCAAGACGACGCTGCTCCGACACATTGCCTCACGGGCGTTCGCCATACCGCCAAACATCGATGTGCTGCTCTGCGAGCAGGAGGTGGTGGCGACCGATAAGACAGCCATTGCTACCATACTGGAGGCCGATGTGAAGCGCACGAAGATGCTGCAGAAGGCCGATGAGTTGGAAAAGCAGTTCGCCGCTGGAGATATGAGCGTCCAGGAGGAGCTGAACGACACATTCGCCGAACTAAAAGCAATGGGCGCCTACTCGGCGGAGGCAAGAGCCCGCCGTATCCTGGCTGGTCTGGGCTTTAGCAAGGAGATGCAGGACCGACCCACAAACAAATTCTCTGGCGGTTGGCGAATGCGTGTCTCGCTCGCACGTGCTCTGTACTTGGAGCCAACTCTGTTGATGCTGGATGAGCCGACTAATCATTTGGACTTGAATGCCGTTATTTGGCTGGACAACTATTTGCAGGGCTGGAAAAAGACACTGCTGATCGTGTCTCACGACCAGAGCTTCTTGGATAATGTGTGCAACGAAATCATCCATCTGGACCAGAAGAAGCTCCATTACTATAAGGGCAACTATTCCATGTTCAAGAAAATGTACGTGCAGAAGCGACGCGAGATGATCAAGGAATATGAGAAGCAAGAGAAGAGACTGCGTGAACTTAAGGCGCACGGCCAGTCTAAGAAGGCGGCCGAGAAGAAGCAGAAGGAATCACTTACCCGGAAACAGGAAAAGAACAAAAGCAAGCAACAGAAACAGGACGAGGACGATGGTCCGCAAGAGTTGCTGGCCCGACCCAAGGAATATATTGTCAAGTTCCGTTTCCCCGAGCCCTCACAGCTTCAGCCACCGATTCTGGGCGTTCACAATGTGACGTTCGCGTACGAGGGCCAGAAGCCATTGTTCGTGAAAGCCGATTTCGGCATTGATTTGACCAGTCGCGTGGCCATTGTGGGTCCCAACGGTGTGGGCAAATCCACATTTCTCAAGCTGCTGCTCGGCGAACTGGAGCCACAAGAAGGCGAGCAGCGCAAGAATCATCGCTTGCATGTGGGACGCTTTGATCAGCATTCGGGCGAGCATTTGACAGCGGAGGAATCGGCGGCTGAATATCTGCAGCGTCTATTCAATTTACCGCATGAGAAGGCTCGCAAGGCGCTTGGCTCCTTTGGCCTGGTCAGCCATGCGCACACCATCAAAATGAAGGATCTTTCTGGCGGCCAGAAGGCGCGTGTCGCTCTCGCCGAACTGTGCCTTAGCGCGCCCGACGTGCTCATTCTGGATGAGCCGACCAACAATCTAGATATCGAATCAATTGATGCCTTGGCCGAGGCCATCAATGAGTACGAGGGCGGCGTCATCATTGTCTCCCACGACGAGCGTCTCATACGCGAAACGGGTTGCACCCTCTATGTCATCGAAGATCAGACAATTAACGAGATCGATGGCGACTTTGACGACTATCGCAAGGAGGTGCTCGACTCCCTCGGCGAAGTAGTCAACAATCCGAGCGTGGTGGCCAATGCGGCTGTGCAGCAATAATCGCTACCATATGAATTTGTCTCCTTCTATTTCGGCTGTTGCAAATTACTTCACTAGATAGCCTTTTTATATATATATGTGTGTGGGGGGCGAACAGATCCCAATAAAGCAAACACGAAATGTTGAATTTTTTGCAAAAACTCCTCCCATTTATTTAATTTAATATTAGTTGCGTGGATCTTAAATGAATTAACCATATCGATAGAATTGTTGAACATTATTCAGCAGCTGCGTCATCGTATTATAGCTATCCACATCGAAGTCTATATTTTCGCCACCAAATTCGATAATCTGCGAATCCGTTGAAATATTAGGGAAATATATCTCTAGCAAACAAATAATTACGTTTACCTCTTTGGCTCGTATGGTGTCGCCAGCGCTTGGAATCCCAATTACCTCCACCCATGAGCCTTGGGCGGCACTCAGCTCGCTGGGCAGATTGATCCGCAGCTTTTGATTATCTGTGCTGATAGCCAACAGCGTTGATCCGGCCACGCTCTCTACGCGCACCATGATGCTGACAGATTGGCCGGTAAACTGTTTCAGCATGCCGCCATTGACAAGAGTACGCGATTCAAATGGTGTATTCATTTTGTGAACTGGCACAATTTATCTATTAATACTGAGTGAACAAATTAACACAACAAATTCACAACAAATGCAAATGCGCACATCAGCGAAATAGCGCGAAACAATCGAGTAAAATATCGATTGCACGTCGATAGCTTTCGCACAAGGAAATTCCCACAAAAATACCATCATTTAAATATCGTACGTTGCGGACACTGCAAAAATTTAGCACATCTCAGAACATTTAGACCCTGTACTACCAAATAAATCCATCAATAAATAAAACTCGAGTTTTATGTGTTAAATGTGATTTATGCGTTTTATGTGTGTTTGATCTATTTAATTTTTTTTTGTGTTTTACAGGATTTATGTGCTTTATATGTTTTGTGTTTTATGTCCTCTATGTGTTTTACTTGATTTATGTGGGTTATACATATGTTTTATGTGTTACTGTTACTTGTTAAGTCAAAATGTGATTAAATTGCAATTACATGAGGTCTAGTCGCCAGTATGAGGAGGCTCATAATTATTCTCATCATCTAATGAAGAAGAAATATAATCGTGTGTTTGTGTTTGTTTGTGTTTGTATTTGCGTTTGTCGTGTTTCTTCTTCTTTTTCTTGTCCTTTTTAGATTTCTTGCGTTTTGGTTGATCATCTGTAGTGTCATCTGGAGTGTCGTCTTGACGTACTATTGTTAGATTTTGTAAGCTTTCGCAGTGGAGTAATTTGTATACTCCGCTAGACGCTTTTCTCTTTCTTAGAGTGGACGAGTTCTCCACCGATTCGGCTAAGTTCAACAACACAAGTGTCAGAGATCCAAAGTATAGTGGAGGAGTTGCAGTAAGAGCTGGTGCATAGCCCGAAGGGTCTGTTGGCGAGGGTGATGTAGGTTCTGATGAATCTCCATCAGTTGGCTTCTTGCGGAGTCTCTCCCAATCGTCGGCAATAACCCTCAATATATCTTTCCCATATATCTTAAACGGGCAATTATGTGCTTCGAAAAACTCCTTAGCTAATTTGGTGATCTCCTCCTCGAGCTTTTGCAACATTCTGTTAATAGTAGTCCGTTCAAGATCCTCCATGGGACTATTTCTTCGATTGTCGTGATCCGAATCGCTGTCATTGTCTTTAAGATCCACCAAGCGTTCCCAGAACTCTTTACGGCAGCCATATAGCTCATAGTCTCCTGTTGGTTTCGTAAAATTCCTTCAGCGAGTCCACCTCGTGTCCCAGCTTTTCCAGCGCACCCTCCCAGGTGCCGTCATTAACGATCATCAAGAAATCCTTTCTATATTTTACGTTTTGCATTTTTAAGTCCCAATACTTTTCGACTTCAATGCGCAGTTCCTGGATCACGGTCTTCGCAGTCGTCATATGCAGAGCATCGTAGCTTTTTAACTGTTGCTTCAGCAGTTCGAACGAAACAAGTGAATCATCGAGCTTTCGTATTCGGCTACTGAAATACTCGCATAGTGCCTGCATTTGGTCGACCTTCTCACAAAGCTCTTTGCGCAAACAGGAAACGTCATCATGTAATCCTTCAATTTTGTCGGTAGATTCCGTTTTCATCTCCATAAGTGTCTCAACGACGTTGGCTGTCAGACACTGATCTGTGTAATCAAGCAAGTTTTCCTCCTCTTCTGTTTCTGGGTCTATGCCAAGCACTTTCATCTCGTTCTGGATTGAATACCGTAGATTAAATACCTCATTCATGCGGGCCTCATGCAATTCCCGCAGACTCTGCACATAGTCGCGGATCGCGGACATTTCATCCGCCTTGGGCATTTTATTTACATAAGTAGCGAGGTTGCTCACCTAAAACACTGCATAACAATTTCTGCTGATCAAGCAGATTTTCGAACTCTACAATGCGCTTGGATAGTTCCTCACGGAGTTCAACAAGCTCCTTATCCATTGTTAGCAGCCAAATGTCCGTAGCCATGTAGTTACGTCTGTCCTTCGAGACTACTTTTAAATCCAGCTCGAGCTCCATCTGATCGATCTCTGTTAGCAGTGACTGAATTTCGTACTTAAGGGAGTCCTCCTTGGCACATGATGTATTTAATAATTCGCTATATAAATGCTTCACACGTATTGCCAGTTTGTCAATCAGCTCTAGAGACATAGCTTTAGCTTCGGTTGCTGCAGAATTATCGGCCATTTTTACGAATTTAAAAAGTTTTCATAAATATTTAAATTTAAAATTTAAACTCGAAGCTCAGGAGCAACTGAATGAAATTCTACAAATTTGTGTAAGCAAGTTAACTTTTTTTGACAAGCCTGCCTACTAGATGGAAAGCGAAATTGCAAAGTTTGAAAGCTGTAGCTATGTGACCCTCTTACGAAGTCGTTAAAATACTGACGTTACGAGTTCGTATTTCATCTACCACTGACCAGTGCATCTACTAAGACAGCCACACAGTATTTTTTGTAGCCCTGGAAGCAAGTGCTGCAAAATATCTTCTATCTCACTTATAAACGACATCCATGTGAATGTGAAATAATATTTGTAGACTTTTTGAATAAGTTGAAGAAACATGAATAATTATAATGCAGTATTTAAAAAAGTCTCGCATAATTGTATAGCGTTGCCAGCTTTCAAACATTTTAATACTGTTTCTGATCAAAGAAATAGTATTTTTTAAATGTGGCAACGTCAAGTTGTGTTTTCAAATTTACCGAAATATTCAATTGATGTTGGCGTCACCTTTAGACTGTTTTTTTTTTTTTGTTGTTAATTCCTGTAAAAGTTAAAATTCTAAATACATAAATATGGCCGAACAGTCAACAGCAAAGTCAACTATCGTAGATATTACAAGTGATCATGTCGATCGCCTATTTAGCAAATGGACAAGCATGTTTGATGAGACATATTGTCTGGAATTGATGGACAAGTTGGGAGACCGCGTGAAAAATTTCTATTGCGACCTGCTGACCGAATCAAATGAGAAAGAAAAGGCAATAATGAGCAACATCAGTGATCTGCTTGAGGAGGCCGCAGACATACGTCGCCTCTTGCACAAAAACTTGGATATTGGTGAAAAACCCGAGGAAATGCCGCTGGATGTTTGGCTGCAAACGCTGGACAAGAGCATAGAACATCTGCGAGCGGAGCTGCGCGAACGTCGTGCGGAAATTTGCGAATTGCTGCTGCAGCAAGATCAGCTCTGCGAAGAGCTAGGTGAGTGTCCGCTGCCACTGCTCGCCGATCCACTTCCAAAGCCAGATGAAATGTCATCCTTTTGCAAGCACCTGGAGCATCTGCGGGCAGTGCGCGAGCGCCGCCTGGAGGAGCTCTTCCAGCTGCGTAGTCAGATCAAGCAGGACATGATGCTGCTCTCCATAATGCCGACCACTCCCGCAGAGGAGCATTTGCTTAGTCAAGCGAATCAGCATCTCACGCCGAATATCTTAGAGAAGCTCAGACTCATGCAAAAGGAGTTTGCCGCACAGGTTCAAGAAATGCGCGAACAGATCGACGACATGCGCGGCAAGATTTACGAGCTGTGGGAACGTCTGCAGGAGTCGGATGAGTATATCATGCGTAGAGTGCGCTCTGCCGTCGATTATACTCAAGCGACATTCGATGTGTTGCGTGAGGAACTGCAGCGCTGCCAGGCGCTGCGTCGCAAGAATCTGAAGACCTTTATCGAGCAACTGCGCCTGGAGATCAAGAAGTGGTGGGACTTGACTCTGAAATCGGAACAGGAACGAAAACGCTTCTCCAATTTTTTTAATGAGTGGTACAACGAGGACTTGCTGGAGCTGCATGAGCTCGAGCTGGATGACCTGAAGAGCTTTTACACTAGCAACAAAGAGATATTTGAGCTATTTGCGAGTCGCTCTGAGTTTTGGGCCCGAATGGAGGCCCTCGAGGCCAAGGCCAACGATCCGAATCGGTTCAACAATCGTGGTGGTCAGCTACTTAAGGAGGAGCGCGAAAGGAAGGCAATTGGGACCAAATTGCCAAAGATTGAGCAACAGATTACAGAGTTGGTGAAAGCGTATGAGATGCGTAATCAGTGCCCATTTCTGGTCTATGGCGAGAATATACTAGATCGTATGGCCAACGATTGGGTGCGTCTTCGCCAGGCCAAGGAGCAACAGAGCTCTGCGCGCAAGCAAGGAGGAGCTTCGAACAACGGCAAAATGTTGCCACCTGCAACACCTGGGTCAACGGCTCCACGAACCCCCCTGTCGTTGAGGAATATGTCCGCAATGTCCAGTTCAACGATGTCGTTGCGCAAGACTCCGTCCACTCTGCAGTTGTCCTCGATGGCGAGCTCCGCAGCCAAGACCACAGGCAATCTGCATAAAAGGAAGCTACCCAACGGCGAAAACAGTTCCAGGGAAGAGACTCCAACTGCCAAGCGGAGTCTGATGAGAGCATTGAGCACGTTGAAGCCGTCGCCAGCAATGCGAAAGCCCAACCAGCGACTAGCTGTCGTCCAGCAGAAGCCCAACCAGCGACTAGCTGCCGTCCAACAGAAGCCAAAAAGGTCGCCCATGAAGAAGGTGCTCGTGTTGCAGAATACTATGCGCAGCAGCTCGGGTGTGGGGCGTCGTAGCGTGGGTCAATCCGGCAAGAAACGGCGCAGTAAATTTGACATACCCACTATTTTATATCCATCTAGCAGCGATGAACAGGAGCAGGAAAAGGAGCAGGAGCCAGATCCCGAGGATATCGTCAATTACAATAAGTTTTCGCCCAAAGTTCGTTCGTCCGAACTGCCACGTGCATTGACCACCCCGCGTTCTGCTTTCCTGGCCAACAAAGACCAGAAACAGTACGCGCGCAAGGAGCTGAACGAGGACCTTGCCCAAGCGGTGGAGCTGCCAGAGCCCAGACGTAGCAGAATGTGGGAGCTCAAGCATAAGAAATGAGATGAGCTCATTAATATAGAATGTACTTATTCCATTTAAATTCTACTTGATATTTTAAGTTTTATTGCTTTTACTTTATTGTTGTAACTTTTTGAAGTATTTTCGAGTTTTATTTAAATGCTTTTCTATATATACATATAAACGGATTTCTATGCATATCGATTTATATCTAAGCGAAACCCTGAACAAAAATTAAATTTTTAAGAGGAATTACTATTACTATTCAAATGTATTAATCCGATATTTCTGACTTAATAATCTTAGTATCTCTTAAGCAATTGAAGTGTCTTAAGATCATATATATTTATGTTTTATCTGCTGAATTTAGTTTTGCGATCTATATACATATGTCCACATATATATTGTCACAAGTAAGCTAAGGCATACCAATATCGAGAAGTAACTGGGAAAGACCAAATACATAGTCGTAAGACTAGTAATTCCCATACGATTGTCTCATACCGTTTCGGTTAGCTGGAGAACAGAATATCGAGAAATCCTACGCACGTCTGGGGCAGAACAATGTTGAATAAGTAACCAATATGAAATGATTTAGGTACTAAGGCTTGTTCAATATTAAATCTATAAATAAAACTAATATTCATGCTTTTCAATTGTTGTTGTTTTCTTTAATGTATTTACAGATTTCGTTAGATCATAAAGTGCTATAGCTATGTCTATAAGTTATACAAGCTTGTTTTTTAGATTTTGTTTAGATTAACTAGTATTTGACCATTTCATCCGATTCTGAACGGAATTACGTTTATGTATCTAACTATTATAATCTAAACAATTATCTAGTTAGTTTGCCTTGCGATTTCACTGGTTTAGCATAGTTAGCATAATCATATATTTTATAATATATATATATACAGTAGAGATCGCTTAGTGCAAACAAATAGAACTGAAAGTTTAAGGCGCGATTTCTTTTCATATATTTTACATACATATATACAAGGTCAACTTTTTATTTTGAGATTGGAATTGCTTGATTAATTTATGGGGCAACGACGGCTATTTGCTAGCATTGCTCTGTTGACTGTTCCCGCCATGATTGTACATCAGATGCGCTGAAAGGGAAATAGAGAGAGAGAGAGAGAGATAGCATTAGTTGCTGTAAATATGAGCAAATCGAATATGAGAATTTACCCATCACGACAGGCGCTATGCTGAAGGTGCCAAATGGTGCCGTCGCAGTTGTGCTCGTTGCATTTGTCGTTGCACCAACGAATCCGCTTGCATCGGCCAGCGGCACGGACACGGATACGGGCACGGGCACGGGCACCTGCACCGGCACTGGCGACGTTGTACTATAGGCCACCGGCGAATGCATTATGGGCGTGGCAATCGCCGCTGGCAGCTGGGTCGTAACAGTGGCCATTGGCTGCGGATCGGGCGTCGATTGCTGGTAACGTGCAGGCGGCATAACGACCGTGGTCAGATGCGAGTTATTGGGCTCGTCCAGCAGACCGGTGCGCTGCAGCCGACCCGTCTTCGTCTCAATGTGCTTGTTGTGGGCACTCAGGCAATGGTTGCGCATGTGATAGAGCTGCAGGAAGTAGGCATCGCAGTGGGGGCACTTGTACCGCTCGCCCGTATGCCGTCGTATGTGGGCCTTCAGATCGTTGCTCTGGCTGAAGCTCTTGGGGCACTGATCGCACTTGTACGGACGTTCGCCCGTATGGGTGCGCATATGTATGGTCAGATTGTAGGCACGATGGAAACTCTTGCCGCAGGTGTTGCACAGATTGGGCTTGGTGCCCGTGTGGTACCTGTGAGGGCCAATGTCATTAATCAGATCAGGCGACAGTTTGCCAAACAGTTGGGATTAGTGCGCTCTGGCTCACTTACCGCTCGTGTACCTTAAGATCTGTGGCGCGTGGAAATGCCTTGATGCAGTAACGGCACTTGTATGGCTTCTCGCCATTGTGCCGTCGCATATGGACGCGCAGATAGTCGTTGCGTGCGAAACTGTCGCCGCAAATGCAGCAGAGGAAGTTCCGCTGACCAGTGTGGGTCTTCTCGTGGCTACGCAACTGCTGCCGCTCCTTGAACGTCTCGTCGCAGCTCTTGCACGCGTATAGGAACTCCGTGTGGAGCAGCGTATGCTTGCGCAGGTAGGTCTTGCTGGAGAAACGCTTTGAGCAGTACTCGCACGTGTGCTCGCTCATTTGGAGCTTCAGCTCATTGCTGGCGTCGAGACCCTCGCCATTGTGCTTGCTCATCTTGTGCCGATCGAGGGCATCGGCACGGGTGAAGGCCGCATCGCAGAGCACGCACTTGTGCTCCTTATTGCCGTGCAGGCTCTGGACGTGCGCCTTCAAATGATCGCTGCGCGCGAAGGCCTTGGGGCAATGCGGACAGCTGTGCGGCTTCTTCTCCAGATGGGACAACTTGTGGCGCAACAAATGGCAATGGCGGGAGAAGGTGCGCAAGCAGACATCGCAACGATTCTCTGGATTTGCTTCCGTTTCGCTTTGCGTCTGTTTGCGTCGTCGGCGTCGCTGCTTGCCCTTTGTCGGCTTTTGCAAATACTCCCGCACGATTTCCACTTGAGTCAGCTTCGGGTTGTCCTCATCGAGCTCAGCATTGGCTTCCTCCTCATCCTCAGCTTCATCGTCCTCTTCATCAAGCTCGCTCTCCTCGTCAGCGTCTTCTTCCTCGTCGGCACTGTGAAACAGATCTGCTGTTGCGGCCTCCGTCTCATAGTCCTCATCCACCTTGATGCTGTCAGCGCGCTGCCGCTCTTGCTTAATGGATAGCTGCTGCTCACCGCCGGCGGCAAGGGGCTCCTCTGTACAAACACACAAAGTAAGAGTGTCTATGTGTCATAAGATTTATGTTCATACTCGAGGTTGACTCACCTTTTACCTCTGTTGAATATGAGCTCGAAGCTGGCTTCTGCTTGCTGACGCCTTCGGGCTCCTCCTCCGCATCTGTGTGAGCTGCAACCTTTGAATTGGATTTCTTTTTGCGCCTATCGTGATTCACTTGCTCAACTTCCGCCTCTGCCTCTGCCTCCAGCTCCGGCTCCAGTTCTGCTTCTGGCTCTGGCTTGATGTGCAGCCAGAGCGATTCTTTAGCCTCGGCATGCACCTCATCATCGCCAGAATCCTCATTGCTTGATATAGGATTCGTTGTATGGCATTGATAGCCACTCTCGTTATTTTCGTTGTCAGAACACACAGCCGGATCATTGAATAAGACAGCGGCCGATTCCAGCTCATCGCCGCTTTGCATTGTTGTCTCATCGTTAGGCGTCCACGGGGCAGCAGCCTCCAGCTCCTGCTGCCGCGGCACATCGTGGACTTTTCGCATATGGCGTATAAGATGATCACGTCGTGAGAACTCACGCTGACAAACCCGACATTCCAGACGCCGACGTAGCAACGGCGAATCTGGTGACTTTTGATCGTGCTGCTCGGTGAGATGGTTACGCAGCTGACGAAGCTTTTGAAACTGCTCGCCGCAGAGCCTGCACTTCAGCTCCTCCGTCTTCATGTGATGGCGACTGCGATGCAGGCGTAATTCCAGAATGTTTAGAAATTTTTCGTTACAGATCCCGCACGGCAGCATTGGTAATTGGTCAGTCTGAGTACAGACATCGTTGCTGTTGGGCTTGGTCACAGGTGTGCGTCCCAGCATTGCCACGAGCGAACGGTAGGCTTTCTCGGCGTCCTGCTTGAAGCGATACGCTTGGCAGGCGGCCTTGATGCAGGTATCGCACATGTGATGGGGCATCTTATCATAGCGCTCGCAGGTGTACCGCGTGCACTCGTTAAGTATTTGTGCAATGTTCGCGCCCTGCTCCACGGGCGCCTCATCGTAGATGAAGTAGAAATCGCCCACCTCGCGCAGGCAAACACGGCAGACGCGCTCCGCATCGAATTGGCCGTAGGTGTCAGGCATTGGGATTTTAATTAAAGTATCTGCTACAATCAAATAACTTCTATTATTGTTGCAGCATTGCGTTTTGTGGGTGTTTTGTAAATTATTTATGGGGTTTATTTTACATTTTCTTTCACTTGAATAAAAATTCACGAAGGTCTGGCACCACTTGTCTGTGTTGACAATACAGTGGCAACATCAAACGACTCATTAGTGTTGTATAAAACCACCATAGCGCGCATCAAACGCAAATTTGTAAACAAAACAAATTTTATTTTCTCAAATTTAACAATTGCACTCAAAAACTTTATGGACTTTATTTCTAACAGCCACATTTCTGACTTAAAATTTTTGCACCTGCAGCTCTATCAATGATCAATGTCAGTTTTCCATGGGTAGGCTCTACACAAGCAGCAGGAAAACTTCTATCCCCGTCTATGAATACGCTCTGTAAAGTAGGAAACAAATTATAAATAATATAACATATACATTAATAATTCAGATTTTTCACACCTTTACAACGTCCGCTTTACTGGCGCCAGTGACAACAAAGACCACATCGTTCGCATTGTTGATTAGCGTGAGTGTAAATGTTATTCGCTCTGGTGGCGGCTTTGGTGAATCACGAATCGGAATGACAAGCTGTTCGGCGTGTATCTGGAATTCAGGCCGGCCCGGAAACAAGGAGCATGTATGTCCATCCGGTCCCATGCCCAATAGCAACAAATCAAATATCGGACAAGATGAGCCAAATTCGTCGATTATGCGAGCCTCATAGTCACAGGCGCAGGCATCCAAGGAGAGTGCCGTGTCAGCTTTGATTAATTGGCTCTCCACAATGTTGGGTAGCTTGGCATGCATTTCAGTTCTGTATGCATTGAAGGTGGATTCTGCATCATCATCCGGGACATAGCGTTCATCGCAGAAGAAGAATTTCCAATTAGTTGTATCTATTTTACGGCTGATTAGAGCGCGGGTCAAGAGCTGTACAAGCGAGCCACCTGTTGATCGTAGTAAATGTAACACATTATTACTCCATTGACTTTGAGAATCAATATGTGCACCGCAAGGTCACCTTAAGTAGAGCTTATCACACACATACGCATGCATTTATACAATTGCACAATACAGTAATGTGATCCGCATTGAAATACGCACCTGAGATGCCAACTCGAAAGGTAGGACGATTTTTCAGAACTTCAGTCGAGCAATGATGCAGTTTGTCGCCCAAGCTTTGCACTAGTTGGTCCTCCGTTTCAGATACCCTTGCGTGAAACGGGCACTTTCGACTTGACATGGTTACACTTTACAAAAATTTACCGAATGATCTTTTCAAAAACAATTGGGAGTAAATGAATTTTGCTTGTTGTATTTTTGTGTGGCAGTGTTGCCACCTGGTCAACGTTTGAATGCGAATTGCACAGCACTAAAAACTAAATTTGAGCACAATCTAGTGCTGTAAAATAGCAGTACGCCATTGTCATGACATCTGTCATTCACACAAATACAAATACATATTTTGAGAGTTTCATAAAATTGCGTTGCAAATTCGCGCTCTTTAATTTTATTTATTTTTGTCGTGCAATATTAATTGCTAGCAACGGCCCGCGTACGTATGGAACGGACTCTCTTTTTTGTTGTGTTTATCGTGCTGTGAGCATTGCATATTTGCACATATCGACGGACAATCGAAGTAGCTAATACAATAACAAAAGCAAGAACAGCAACAACAGTTGCAACGTGTGTGCACGCAAAAAAAAGGCCTTGTTTATTATTTTTAAGACTGGTAGTATTCGCTCCACACCCCCCAATATCTTGTGTGTCCGTGTGGGAGTGTGAGCGTGAGTGTGCGAAATGCCTAAGCGCGGCGGTGGCGGCGGCAGTCAACGTTATAACAACAATGCTGGCAATGGAAACGGCAGCGGGGGCGGCGGCAGTGGTGGATCACGTTTTTCTGCTTTGAAAGATTATGATGGTAAGTTGTTCATGTGCTTAATTCCTGATCGATTCTTATCAAACAGAATTCTGCGTTCCATTCGCAGATGATGATCATCAGCGTCGCAAGGATCGCAACAAGCGCCGCGTCAGCTTCAAGACATCACAGTTTCCACACAAAAGTGATGTGAAACTACGCTTACAGGATGTCCGTCGCTGGGACGAGGACGATGATATGAGCGAAATGACAACCACTATCAAGGTATACCGCATTTGCATCATATTACATAGAATATTTCGAGTATAAATTCGAATTAATTTGCTTGCAGGATCGCCCAAGCTCGCGTCGTCGCGGCTCACCAATTCCACGTGGTAAATTTGGCAAACTAGTGCCCAATGGTGCTGGCTGGTATCAAGTGACCGTAAGTAACATAAAATATATATATCATAACTTATATATGTATATATAGTCAATTCCATTCAATAAGCTTGATTTAGTTTGTGCTGACGCATTTGGTAAATTATAACCATGAGATTATATTAAGCAATAGAAGTATATATACTAAAGATCATGTTATATTGATTGGCCAAAAGTCTGTCGTTCATTTATAATGATTACTCTTTTTCGATTGTATATCCCAGTCGATTGTAAATCTGTTATGAAATATGGGGTAAAGAAAGCAATGTCTGTTGGCTGATTGGTTGAAAATTTAGCACTGGTTAGTTTTACCTGCTTATCGCATAAATCGCGAGTTTATTGTCGTCATCTGCTCGGTCGGTCGCCTGCCTATAAAGATATACAGCAGCAGTCGTTGTGATAAACGGCGAGACTTTGGCATTAATATTAATAAAACTTTAAATCACAAACACACAAATCGCTTATCAAGCAGTTACTTACATTCGCCTACAGTCATGCGATCTTAATATCAATTAAGTACAAAACTTGTTTTCTAAGTACTATGCACGGCTCGTTTCTATTTCGATTAAGCATTATCAGTTTATTGGCAACAATAAAGCTGTTGGCTGTTTTGAACTAAACTCCAGCTAGACATGGTATTTCCTAGAAATAGCTGTGCTAACTGAAATAACTTTAGTTTATTTCACGATGAGGCCTTGTTAATTCACTTACATTGTCATATAGCAAAAAATGAATGTAATAATTGCACTCTAACTACAGTGCAGCTCATATGATTAGACTCACTTTTGATATGAGTGGTCCACTTCATATTAGATTCTCTTGTACACATATGCGAATGCCTGCGTGTGTGTGTGTGTCGGTTAGTTTAATTATTTAACAGCCCCCTTATAGTCCTCATGCTGATCGCAGTGCGTTTCGGTCACAGCGTGCGCTCCCAAGTGCTGGCAATGAACATTGTCGCCAGCTAATCTGCTATCTCTCTGCCAATGGAGGCAATAAAAACTCGTCAGGGCAGCGCTGTTTCCTTTTAGCCGCTGAAGCGCCGAGCTTTCGGTTGGCGTTTGTATAGAGTAGTTGGGTCATTTCATTGACGGCCGGCAATCGTTGAAGTCGCGCGCAGCCAACTATACCGAAACAAGCCGAATCTCAAGAGTAAATTGGACTCGCGCCTGCTCCACATATGTATTTCGCATTGTCGGGTATTATCGCTGGCGCTTATCTGAAAGCAAATATTGGTTGTCTTTCGATTAAGGGGCAAGGAAACTAAGCGTCTGTGCGTACGTACTACTACGAATTCCATCAGATCTGCACTGGGCAGATCTCACGGCCTAGGTGCGCGCGTGCGCTCTCTCTCGCTCGCGATCGCTCCGTAACTGGGTTGCCATCTTATCAGAAGAAAAGACAAAAAGAGAGAGAGAGAGAGAGTAAAGAGCTGTGCAATGAGTACGCTGGAAGCTTGGGACTATGCCATCCTGGCCGTGGTCCTCATCATATCTATAGGCATCGGTGTTTATTATCGGTATGTGGACAACAAACAGAGCAATACCACGGCGTTTTTTCTGGCTGATCGTTCCATGGGCGTAACACCAGTGGCGTTCAGCTTGATGGCCAGCTTCATGTCGGCGGTCACAATACTTGGCGTCTCCATGGAGATCTATCAGTATGGCACCATGTTCGTCATCATCAATATCTCGTATGTGCTGTCAACGCCCGTTGCCGCCTATCTAATACTGCCAGTATTTTATCGCTTGAAAACGGCCAGCGTCTATGAATATCTGGAGCTGCGCTTTGGCTATGCCACCCGTTTGGTGGCCTCGGTGACCTTCTCGCTCCAGATGATACTCTATATGGGCATTGTGGTCTATGCACCCGCCCTGGCGCTGGAGGCAGTCACCGGCCTCAATCAGATCTTCTCCGTGCTGATTGTGGGTATCGTCTGCACCATTTATGCCACAATGGGTGGCATGAAGGCGGTGCTCATAACGGACATATACCAGTCGATCCTGATGTTTGTCTCTGTCTTCAGTGTGATCATCTACACGGGCATCAAGGCCGGTAGCTTTGATGTCGTTTGGAAAGCAGCGCAGGAGTCCGGCCGCATTGACTTCACCAACTTTAGCGTAGATCCCACAACTCGACACTCCTGGTTCACACAGGTGCTCGGCGGCAGCGCAACCTACCTGAGCCTATACGGCGTGAATCAAGCGCAAGTGCAACGGCTGCTGGCCGTGCGCAATCTGCGATCAGCGCGCTCCGCTCTCTGGTGGTGTTTGCCCATCTTGTGCCTGCTAAGCCTCAGCACTTGCTTCTCGGGTCTGTGCATCTATTGGTACTACCGCAACTGTGATCCGCTGTTGGCTGGGCGCGTCAGCTCGCGGGACCAGATCATGCCGCTATTTGTGGTGGACACCATGGGTAGCTATACTGGACTGGCGGGTCTCTTTGTGTCCGGCATATTCTGTGCCAGCCTGTCGACGATCAGCACAGCGATCAGTTCGCTGGCTGCTGTCACGCTAGAGGATTACCTAAAGCCACTGATGCGCAGCTGTAGGAAACGCACGCTCACGGATCATCAGACCATGTGGTACTCCAAGCTGTTGTCGGCCTTCTTTGGCGCCCTCTGCATTGGCATGGCCTTCCTGGCCGGCTCCATTGGTGGCCTGCTGCAGGCGGCTCTTTCCATTTTTGGCATCATTGGCGGCCCCCTGCTGGGGCTGTTCACGTTGGGCATGTACGTGACGTCGGCCAATCAGAAAGGCGCCATTGGCGGCCTGCTACTGTCGCTAGCCGTTTCCTTTTGGATTGGCTTCGGTCAGCCAAAGCCGCCCATACCCAGCCTGGAGATGTCCATTGCCGGCTGCCCGGCTGATCGCAGCTATGCCGCCGACATATTCCTCCTGCAAACCGACACTGCACACTTCAGAGAGAGTCCTGAGCCCGAGCCCGAATCCTCGTACTTCTATCTCTACCGCATTAGCTACATGTGGTATGCACCCATTGGCTTCGTCATTTCCCTGTTTGGCGGCTGGCTGCTCTCGTACTGCATGGCCGCCTTTAAGTGGGACAACAATCGTCGCATCTACCACGACGCCGATTGCACGCTGATCAAGCACGATCTCTTTGTGCCGCCCATAGCCAAGCACCTGCAGCGTCGCCAAATGCCACGCCTAGTCGTGACCAGCACCACCAGCAGCGGCAGCGGCAGTGGCAGCAACAGGAGCAGCTACAGCCACAAGGAGTCCAAAAGCGAAAAGTCACACACACAAATCTAATTTATTGAACTCTTCAAGTCTTCTCTTTCGTTAGTTTTTTTTTTTTTTTTATTAAGTGCAGCGCGTTTTACATTCGATTATGGAAAAAGCAGCTTAGTAATAATAAACAAAGATTAAAAAAAAAAAAATTATATAACTGATCCCGGCAGAAGCTTAGCCTCTGCTCTCACCCTTTTCTCTAGCTGGGAATCGGCTGGGCTGTGGCTGCCTCACGATTGTTGCCGGCCTCGTAGTAGTTGCGTCCCTGGGCCATGTGCCACAGGGCGAGTAGGCGTGTCAGCTCCTTGTAGCTAAGCGTATTCAAGGGCTTCTGCTCGGACGTGTTTACGCCCGCTGCGCGCAGCTGCTCGACGATGGTGTCGTAGACGTTGCTCTTGATTGGCTCCGGTTCCTCGTTCGTCTGTTGTTTCGGCGCTATTTTCAAGATGTGCGGCAGTTCCTGTGCGTGTGCTTGGCCTGGCTGGCCCTGCTCCATGGAGTCCAGCGAGACGAGCTCCTCCTCGTTGGCCATGGGCAGAGCTGTGCAGCTGGTGGCAGCCAACAGTGCCAGCAGGCCGATGGCCAGGCAAACGCAGTGCTTCATGCTCGCTCTTTCAGCTTTGGCTTAGCTAATTAATTAATTGATTGAATTGTACTTTAGATATGTTGTGGATCCGTCGCTGGGTCGCCTGGCTGCCTGCCTGTCGGAGGGTCGCGTTTGCACTGACAATACACAGAGAACTTAACTTTGCTGCCGTCTGCCGATCGTGGAATCATGAACGGACACGGAACCTAACAGTCGGCGGGGGCGATGGTGCGTTCCAATTTCTGTTTTCTATCAGTGGCCCCGCTCTCTTTCTCGCTCGCTCTTCCTCTCTGTTTATTTGTCTCTCTTCCCCTGCTACCCCATTCACAATCGACGATCCCCAGCGAGTAGTCATTGAGTTGGTTCCTCGTTTGACTTTAGGGTCGTTCTTGTTGATGTTCAAATTGTTTTTATCTATACATGTACTTGTACATAGCCACACTCACACTCACACTCACATAGATGTACATACATATGCATATCGTTCCCTTGTTTTGCATTTTCTTTAATTCGTTTTTTTGCGTCGTTTGGTTTGGTTTGGTTTTATTGGATTGTCTGATTTATTAATACTTATTTCTCTTTCTATATGTTATGATACATATATATGTGTATACATGTATATACATATATTGTATATATCATATAATGCACACAAATAGATGGGCTGGCAATTTTTCTGCCATCATCTAGTCTCGCTATTCCTCTCGCTTTCCGTCTGTCTCTCTTATACTCTCATACATTTATGTGAACATGTGTAATATATATATATTTTGTGTACAATCTTATCTTTAGTGAACTTCATTTTTTTTAAGTTAACGCAGAACATTTGTTTAGAATTGAAAGCTTTTATGTTGCATGCTTTTGGGCTGAGCTTTTAAATCGCACTTTCATTCGGGACAGCTGTTTTTTGACTAGGTGGCAACGTTGTCAACGGTTTTGGCAATTTAAACTGAAATTCAATTAGCACATAATTAAAATACAGTCAGAGCACTAAAATGCAACTTGAATAATTTATTTGCATTAATTATATTTTATTGTATAAGATGATTCTATTATTATTAGAAACTCTTGCTGCCAATTGCATTTTTATTGATAAGATATGTATATAGTATATATGTATGTATATATAACTAAGTTTTCTTTTGATTGATTGCTAAAGCAGGAAGTGCGCTCTCCATTCTATAATTATTTCTGAGCACATACAAATCTATGAATTTATAAAGAAAACAACAATTCCAATTACTGTTTTACTATTTGCATACTAACTGACAGCACATGCTTTACATCTCGCAGAGGCTAATTAATAATTGAATAAATAAAATATATACTATACATTTGTGTATATATTTGTGTGTGTGTGTGTGTGTAGATTTATGCACACGGTCTAAAGATAGCATTGGAATATTTTGTTTTGCTAGATTACTTTCTTATGGAGTGCAAAAGCAAGTGCATTTATGCGAGACCGCACGTGCCAGCCGACAGGTGGCGTCTTAGTCATCACATATACATAAGTATATGTATTGTAGATTAAATATTTTATGTGGTTGTTTTGAAATTGCTTTACATTTTCGCTCCAGGCCAAAGAAATTGCGCGAAAATTCCCGTTGCAAGAAACTGAGTCATAAGAAATCAAAACTTTTAGCACCGCTGTGTATGTGTTTCCTGCTCTCTCACTCTCTCTCTCTCTCTCTATCCTTGTCCCACTTACACTCCCACTCTCACTCTCACTTGGCCTCCGTTTTGTGCGCTCTTAAAGTTTTCTTCTCTGTGCATCAGCAGCCGCAGCAGTCTCTGATGTCATCGCCTAGCAATGCGCGAATGCGTGTGCAGCTCAGCTGCGGTAGGCGGGGCGGGCTGGGGCGTGGGGTGGCGTGGCGCGGTAACGGTTCTTATCGCGCCGGTAAAATTTACGTCTCTCTCTCTCTCTCATTTCTAACCATTATTTATGGATTTGGTTTTTATTTCGTTGATATCGTAGCCGGACGAATTGAAAGATGCCGCGCAGACAGTCTAACGATTTATCACTTGCATCTAAACGGTACTTTTTGTTGTGTCTCATTTTCCTTAGCTGTCAGCAATAAGACGAATTATTAATTATAAAACACATTTATATATACACACACAGACACAGACACACACACACGCATGCACGCACTCTCGACTCTCTTCCTCTTGCCGTGCAAACACACATGTCACAAATGTTTCATGAGCAACGAAACAAATAAATGTATATACAGTAAATATATATGTATGTATATATACGTTATTATTATTGCTTATTTAACAAAAATTATGGACTCAAGTAAAAAACAAAAAAAAAAAAGGCTAAGCAAATTGATATTTGGTTAAGGTTTTTGGAATGTTTGCTGCAGCTATTGCTTGACATCAGGATCAACAGCATTGGCTGCTGTTGTTGTTGTTGTTGTTCCTGTGAGTTGTTCTTGTTGTTTCCCTGTTGTTGTTGTTGTTGCTGCTGCTGCTGTTGGGCGCGTTAACGTAAAGACACCTGTGCTGCCCACATCATCCATGGGCTGTGCTATGATAGTCGATGTGGTGCTCTATATATATACATATAAATATATATACAGATGTTGAAAATGTTTAAATACATTTCTCATTTTATTTCTTTCTTTTTTTTCTGTCTGTAAATAACTTACGCCATTTTTGGTCTCTTCGGGACTCCATGAGCGCTTATCATCCAAATCCTTAGAGCAGCAGCTGCCCATTTTGTTGTTGTGTTTGAGTGGGTAGTTGGGTGGCTGGGTGGTTGAGCTGATGGCTGAGTTGAGTGGCTCGTTTGGCTGCTGTTGTTGCTTTAACCTCGCACGGTGTTTAACGAATGGCTCTGCGTTTGCCGGTGCGCGCTTGTTAGCCAGCCCAATCGGCTTGCCGAAGCAGAGTTTCACTCGCCAGTAGCCGTTGGCGTCGCTGCCGCAGCTGGCGTCGCCAACGCCATCACCGTCGGCGTCGGCGTCATCATTCATATCAATTCTATAAATTCATGTGTGTCTCAGCGCGCTCATATTCCTCATTGTTTATGTGTACAAAAAGAGGAATTTATATATACTAGACCAGCCCAGCCCCAGCCCATAAGCCCAAAAAAATAAAACCCATATGACTGATCAGACAAGCAGCCCGAGCAGCCCAACCATCCCATCATCCTCTCACTCTCTCCCACTCTCTCTCTCTCTCTCTCTCTCTCTCTCTCTCTCTCTCTCTCTCTGTCTCTCTCTCACTCTCACTCTCAATGTCAATCTCAATCCCAATCTCAGTCGCAGCTCCAGCGCATTCATTACCTTTAGACGACGACGACGACGACTCATGGTCTCGGCTATTCGAATAGTTAAGCTGATCAGATCTTCAAGTGTTATCAGCTGGCATTTGTTAAATGTTGACAAATACATATTTAACCATAACAAAAATGATCACATTGTCTAATTAAATTCGACAACAACAACAACAAAAGCAACAGCAGCAAGAGACTGACTAAGGCAGCAACTGAGGCGCTTTAGCATTTGGCTCTTTATCAATTAGCTCTGCTTGGCAATAGCAGCTAGACCCCAATAAGCTCGTTGATTGGAAAAGTTTAAGGACTTTAAGTCAGCCAGGCCAAATTTGGGCCAGGCCCCAATGGCTGGCCTAATGAGTAGTAAACATAATAAGCGAACACTAATGCTACATAATAAATATATTTATCGCATTAATGCGCAGTAAAATCAAAATCAAAATGAAATTGAGTGCGTAATGGGGTAATGGGCGTAGTGAGCTCACAGTGACTTATTTGATTACTATATACCCTGTAATTTGAGAACGGAAGGGTGGAGATCAGCAAGAATAATTAGGAAAATATATTGAAAAAAAACGTATATTATAGGAAATAATAGCAAGAAACGAGAGTTATAATAAAACGATCATTTCTAATGCTGATAATATAAAATAAATAKATAATATATGCAATATTCAGATAAACTATAATGTCGATACTTACTATCTATAGTTGAAAATGGGGAAAAATATTTTGTTGATATATGAAAGATTGGCCTAAACAAGAAAATATATGTATAGTTATACTTGAGAATATATAATGCGAGTATGTACATAATGTGAAATGAATTTATTTATACATATATAAACAAATTACCATACAATGGAAAATGGAAAGGAATGGAGTGTAATAATTTGTATAATTGCAGGGTATTTCATAGTTGATCACTCTCTGCTTATTTTGTTGTTGTCTTTTTATCTATGATCACAACGAACTCATAGCTAGATACAATTGCGTGCAAATGTGTGTTTATGATATATAGTATATCAAAACTACTTCCAAGTAAAATTGGAACTATCTAAAAAAAAAAAAAACACCAACCTGCCCCAATTACTAAGCGTAAATATATGAAAGTATATATACCAAGTAAAGGTAGATAGATGTCTAAAAATATACACATATGCATATATGCATATATATGTGATGTATCTGCGTGTGCGTCATAATTATAATCAGAATGCTCATAATTAAATCATAGACACTTGAAGATAAGCGCACCCAAAAGTAATTAAAATACAAAGAGGCCCCAGGTCCGCGGGTCCCAGGCGAGTCACCATAGTCTAAATCGGAATTTGGCATTGGTATGCAAATATTGAGTAATTGGGAGTGTAGCACGTAATGAGCAACGTTACACACACACACACACACACACACACACATGCACACATTTACATTCATAATAAATAAAAAACAACAATAGCAGTAAAAGTAAAATAACAATAACGAAAAACCATGAAGAGACGATAAACGAGGCAAGTGAAATAGTTCCCATTGGCTTGTTCCAGTTTTGCAGTTATCGATAATTGAAAGTATATGTGTAAATATACATACATGCATATGTGTATGTATATCTATTTACACCCACTCACTCCAAGATTTCTGTTTGTTTATTTTGAATTAGATCACTTATACAGCATTCTTAATATAGACATATATTATACATCAATAATATAGATTGTACTTGATAGTGCGAGCGGCGATTGATGAGTGACTGATTGAGTAACCGACTGATTATGTGATTGGGCTAATGAATCGATTGATCGATTGACTACTTAGACTGATTGACCTGGCTTGACAAATAGACTAGCTGATTGAGAGACCGATTGAATATGAATAACATTGACTGACTAGTTGGCTGATTGATGAATTGATTGACAAATAGGCTGATTGACTGATTATGGAATGAACACTTGCTGATTGATTGATTGATTGACTGATTTCTTGATTAACTCACCAACTGATTGAGCAAATATTGTGTGATTAATTGATAGACAGGTTAATTGAATCTGACCGAACATTGACTGATTAGCTGATTGACTGATGTAGTGACTGAATGACTAGTTGGCGGTTATTGACTGTGATTAACTGATGTAGTGACTGAATGACTAGTTGGCAGTTAGTTGATTGACTGATAGAATAGCTCAGTAACTGCCTCCTGCAATGGCTGATTGACTGTCTGTCTGCTTGACCTACTATGGGCTGATTGACTGAAAATGCGATTTATTGACCTGCTTAGATATCTAGTAACGATTAAGTTCCCTTATTGATAGACATATTAATTATCTAACAATTTGATTGACTGACAGAATAGCAAAGCTCTAACTGGCAGAGTGACAGACTACATAATTGACTATTGACTGATTGAGGGAAGTGATTGAAGGCCAATTGAAGTCAAGTGAGAAACTCAATTGATTTAAAGCTCGCTTGTAATCTAATCTATAGACTAATTAACTAATTATTATTAAGCAGAGATAAGTCATAATCAATTTGCGTTTATGTGAGGCTCCAACAAAATAAATATTCATTTCCCTTTCTGTTTTGCAGATACAAAATGGCCAGATCTATGAGAAGGAGACGCTGCTGCGTGCTCTACTGGCTGCTATGTCGCCGCATGCTTTCATCCCACAATATTGGCGTACGGAGCGCCACTGCGTCATCTTCTTCACGGATGACTTTGAGGTGGCTGAGCGCATACAGCAGCTGGGAAGGCACGCACAATTGCCGGATGGCTTTCGACTGATGCCACGCGTGCGCAGCGGCATCCCCTTGGTTACCATTGACGAGGACTTCAAGGCCAAAATGAAGGCAGTGATGGCCAAGCGCTACAATTTACAGACCAAGGCACTGGATCTGTCCCGTTTCCATGCCGATCAAGATCTGAAGCCGTTCTTTTGTCCACTGTTCCGGGTGAATGTGATGAGCGCAGCACTGGACATCATTTGCGATAATATACCCGATCTGGAGGCAATCAATCTCAATGATAACAATATGTCCACCATGGAATCGTTCAAGGGCGCCGACAAGCGCTTGCCGCATCTCAAGATCCTTTATCTAGGCGACAACAATGTACAGATGATAATTTCTTAAACAACTTGTCGACTTCGACTCTACAAATATCATTTCTTCTGGTTGCAGCTACCATCGTTGGCTCATCTTTTGGTCTTTCGCAATTTGCCGATTATTGAGCTGGTCTTGCGCAATAATCCATGCCGTTTGCGCTACAAGGATCCGCAGCAATTTGTCAGGTATACTATGCTTTGAGTAATTTATTCTGCTTTCGAAATGGGACGCAGCCAGCGAATCATCAACGTTGCGAAACACGGACAGCGGCTAGAGGTCTTTGTCTATCTGCAAAAGCCTCGCCAGCAGTGTTCTTAATCCTTGTTTCTCTTCTCTCTCTCTCTTTCCCGCTCTCTTACCTTTGACTCTGCTGATTTGCTGAGCTCGCACTGCCGCAAAGCCATTTGGATTTGCCACATGGCACTCGCAGATTTAATTGTCCCTTTAGTAAGCAAATGCATTTGGGGGCATTGGAGCATTGAATAGAGCAACGAAAGTGGAGCCGAGCTTTTGGCAGTTAGCAGAAAAAAAAAATACAATGCAAAAAAAAAAATAAA